AGCTGCTATGATAGTGTTTCATTTAAAAAAGGGGGAACTATAAAAACTTGAGGAAGCTTACTAAAAAGAAATGAGAAGGGCAACCAAAAGGAAACAGAGACTGCTAATAACAAGAATCGATCATATTCTGAAACATGGAGATTCTCTAATTATCTAATCTTTCATTACTGAAGGTTAATTTGATTTTGAGTCTGGTGTTCAGCAAAGTGAATGTAGGGGTGTTGGGAAGGAGAAACCTGGGCCCATGCCTCTTGGATTCTGATTCTCATTCTGCTGCAAATTGTTTGATTATTTGATTTTTCAATCAAATTTTTAAAAACATCCATCCTTATGTCAACATGTTATCCATGTCAACAACACGATGCTGTGTAGTCATACTTAAGTGAGCTGTCTGGGGTACCAGAAGTAAGAGTGCTAATATACCTGTCTTTGAGCTCTAATTTTAATAGCCTTATTCCTTCTAAAAATAGAGTCACAGACACAGTTCTGTGGAATAAATACAAATCGGAAGTTTCATAAGAGCTCTGTTGGACTGGACAAATATAAACTTCTGTATCTGCCTGTAGGTCAAAAAAAGGGCATTTCATTCCATCAGAAGGACCAAAAAAAGGGGTAAAAGATGAAGTTATTGTTGAAATCATAATGGGACTTTAGGACATGATCAAGTTTTAATTTTTAAAAGTGGTGATTTACTTTGACAATCTCCTGATTTGAAGTTAATTATTGGACTTTCATTATTAATGGCTCACTGGGGCAGGAAACTGTAACAGCTTCAGAGTTTATATCAGCACAACATGTGAAGAAAGTTTTGTGATTAAAAAAAAGTGCATGAAAATGGAATTCTCTTTAACACTGGACTTTCTTTTGTCATTCTTCTACTGCAATACCTTTGACTCTGCAAGTAGCTGAACTGAAAAGTGGGCTGGGATTTTTGCGGAATATAGGGCTAGGATAGATGGGTAACGTTTGGCAGAATCTGATCTTTAGAAAGGATTAGGTCAAACCCATTGTTTTTCTCTTTCATAATAATTTGTTTAAAAAAACTTACATAGGTCTTTTGGATGCTATTATGTTGACCCATGTTGAACAGCAGTAAGACTTGTAGGCCATTTTGCAGTAATGCAGAACATTGGTGTATCGTAAATGTAAATTTATTTGCATTTGTATGAAATACTGGCATATATATGTCATTCTTTTCAATTACTTTTGCATATAAGGAAATCTAATATATATGTAATAGCTCTTCAAAGACCAAAAGTTTGCTTGCATGCTAGGAAGAAAAGAAGTGGTAAGATATGCATAGGATCAGCAACTATTCACCATCACTGTTAGAATACCTTGTTTAATTCCAAAGCAGTTGCTTTTACAAAGAGTTAAACTTGTTGATAGGAGGAAATCATTACAGAATTGCTGAGAGAACAGTAACTGAGAAAGTCATACTGTAGATGTGCTAATAACAGGAAAAAATGCATAAAAATATACTAAGTTCTCTACTGAAGGCATGTTATTTTATGCTATATTACTACATCTCCAAACTTCCGCTTTAACCATCAGATATCTGTATAGAATTTCTAGGCCTACACACAAAACTGGTTGTATAACGAGGCAATCTTGGGACTGGAAATTAATTGCCAGCCTACATGAACCACCTCTTTTGCATGCTAGGGACTAGTAGGAAGGGACAGTGGGTCTTCGATGGCCAGGGCCAGATGGCTTAAATTCTGCCTAAGTTGCTGTCTTTAATATGTCCAAGAACTGTACCACAGCCAGTAGTCACAGATGGAGTTAAGACATGTCACCCTTTAGGATCATGCGCTGGCCAGTGGCAAGGGCACATCAGCTCCAGAACTATCCCCTATTCAGTTTATCTTAGGCTATTTTAAAATTTTATCCCCATAAGACAGCCAAAGGAACTATTGCACTGGAAGCAATGTTACTGTACTGTGCAGCATGAGCTACAGAAGAACGAATGAATGAATGCCTATGAAGCAGTACAGCGTAAAATCTGTGCTGCTTCTGATACCTGAGCTGGCTTAGTTCAAGCTACCTGTGGCATCTCTGCAGCAGACTGCAAACAGCCTGTTGGAAAAGAAGCAGGGGAAAAAGACCACCAGGAAAGGGTGGTCAGAAATGTGAATAAACCCACATAAATTTGAGTCTGTGTTCAGTGACCAGGTGGTCATACAGCAGTCTTGGATACTTCCATCGTCAGCTCCGGATGCAGCACACCCCACTGCAGGAGCTGCCTACTCCACAGAAACCTGTGTCATTCCAGTAATTTCACAGTGCACACAACTGAGACAACATGGCCTACAGAATCACATGTGAAAGGAAACATGTACTGCCTGTACATCACTGTGCTCAGTGATGTCTAGAATTGCAATGACTCATTCATACTCTGTGAACATCTGGATGTTCTAAAATGATCAATGGAGCATATCACGACATACATTTTAGTCAGTTGCAAGCCAACATCTTTCAGTATTTTGGGATGCTAACAATTTCTACTAGAAACTCATCTGATCGTTTTAGTTCCCTCAGTAGCTTTAACCTAATTTGTAGCTTTTCTTTTTTTAATTTTTAAATTAACATGAATATTTAAGAATGAGTTTACTGGGTCAAAACTAAAGCAGCGTGTCCTGTCTGAAGCACTGGCTGAACTTTTACAGAAGGCAAATGGGACCCAAAGTTTTAAAAAATGTCCACCCAGCAGATCTGTGCCCTGGAATAGGGCAGTCTGTACATCCAAGGACATTCCTTGGGATTCATTTTGACCCTCAGTTTTCCTCTTGACTCTGCAGAAGTGTTCTGCAGAGGTAGCCGGGAAATGGTTAAAGGTACTGAATGCATCAGGTGTGATTTGGTATAAAAGGAAAATGAATAGCAGTGTGAATAGGGAAGGAGGGATAGACTGCTCTTCTGTTTGTTTTACATGATGCTCCTTGGTGCTACGGAGAGCTCACCTAAACACAGCTGTGGTATCTTTCACTGTGCTCTCCCCAAGGGAAGATTTTGATTTGTTTTGGGGGGCAGGTGAACTTGGAAGATGTGGTGGGGTGGAAATTGTGATTTATTCAGGGGATTTTCAGACAAGAAATAGATCAGTGAATAACAGTACTAATTGACTCACTTCTGAGTCAACTTAGCACCAGTGTCTCACATTGCTAAACCAAGGAAAACATTTCCAATATATTTGATTCTGACCATTGCACTTCAGTCAGTGTGGAGCAGAGGTATTCTTCTCTCACTCTAGAAGGTCAGCCTTTGGATTCCCAAGGAACTGTATTCACATTCATTTCCAGTTTCCTAGCATAAATTTAGGAACTTTCAAGGCAGTAAGTACTACACCTCTGCAGATGTTTTTGTCAGAAAAATGAAAAAACCTTACTCAGAGCATCCTAGTAACTGCTCAGCTAATGACATGATCTGCAGCAATAACAATTAAATCCCCAGCATCAACTACAAAACTTTTATCTTTCTGAAAAATCTCAAGCTAGATGAGAATCTTAAGCTAAACCCAAATTGACAATGGAAGAAATCTTTGCCTGTTTAGATAGTATCACTGGCTTTACACTACCTCCTCCGTTATTAGTGGGCAGTAACAGTTGGGAACAAAATAAATCACTGGCGGGAGGAAAGTGTACTGATTTCCTCCTGTCTTCACCCATCCCCAGAGCAGAGAGGTAGAAGAGTTGCTAAGAATCTCATTTTCTCTTTCATTTTTAGCTTTACAGAACAGAAATGTGTCTGGCTGAGAATGCCACCTAAAATTTGCAATTAGTAGGGCCAACAGAAAAGCATTATTATGAACTTGTCCACGGCACAGAAAAAAGGTACAACAACATGTTTCCCAATCTTTGTACCTGGAAATGAGAAATAACATTTCAGAAGATGGATTGAACAATATAAAATCCTAACTACCATCATCTGAAAGTGCTGTAGTTCTTCCAAGTCAATTCAGGCAAGATGCATAACGTGATTCGAATATGTAGAAAGGAGTTTTGTGGGTAATTTCAGTGCATTGCTAAAAGGAATAAAAGAACTGAAGCACAAAGCGATCTGTTTTTCTGAATGAAAATTCAGGAATTTATTGGATTTCCAAAGCATGGGGTAAGTTATCTCTCCAGTACAGCAAATGTGAAAATGATCATAAAGAAAGGAATATTTCCTAGGGGAGACTCACAGCACCTTCTGAGAACGATGGTCCATCAAAGCATCTCTGTCAGAAATCTGACAACTACATCTCCCCTTTACTCTATGGAGACTACAGCTGTCCTATTCCATTATTGTCAAGAGCACAAAGGTAAAGTTTTCCCCCATCCTGTTTTCTTTCACAGTCACAAAGGCTTGTTTTGCTGCAAGTAATCAGAAAAAAAATCAAGCACTTTAAAACCATGTTCTTACCAGACCTCTGGATATCTACAAATGGCAATGTAAATAGTCTCATTAGTTAAAATCAGGAGGAACCAAGCAGCTCAGAGCTGTCTGTGAGAAGAGCTATTAAAAACAGAGTCTGAAGTGATTTCTGAGGAGGAGGCTCAGCCTCTGCCAGCTGCAGAAATACAGAGGAGGGAAATTTGAAATCCTTTCCCTTCACACACAATCTCTACAACTCCTTAACAGTATGAATTAGATGACTTTGAGGGACAGATACTGTTTTCACAAGGGGGGAAGCAAAACCCTGAGCAATCGCTGCTGTTACAGAATTAGTATTAAAAGGGTGGAGCATAGAGACCAGCTGAAGTCAGAGAGAGGAAGTGTTTGTTGTAAAAGAAAGCGAGACAGTAAAACCAATGAAAGGCTGAAGGAGAAAGACCAAAGACAGGGAGAAAAACAGTGTGTTAGGGAGAGAGATCGTAAAGAAGTACAGAGGAGCACAATCGATGAACTATTGAGGGCTCTGCCTCTCATCACTTCATGATTGTTATCTCTGTATTTTTATTTCAACAGAGAATCTGATCTCAATCTCTCGCCCCTAAACTTCTCCTCTCTTTTCTCACCTGTCCACGGCTATCGCTGTCATGGAGTAGATGCTGGCGAAGACAGCTGTGATTGGGAAGAAGTTGTGGAAGCGGCAGTAAGCCTCTCCAAAGTACCACTCACTGTGCAGCGCGTAGATGAAGTTGATGAGAGTATTGAAAGCAGCCATGGAGGCATCGGAGAAGGCCAGGTTCACCAGGAAGTAATTGGTCACCGTCCTCATGCGCTTGTGAGCCAGGATGATCCAGATGACAATGAGATTTCCAAAAACGGCCACTGCCACCACACCACCATAAGCCAGCGACCACAGGGCAATGCGCCAAGAGGGCTGCACAAACTGATTGGAGAAGTTGGCTGCTGAGGATGCTACAGGGGGAGAAGTGTTTCCAGCTGGCGCTCCCAGCGCCTGTCCCCAGGGATCGCCCGTGGCAGCAAGGCTCACGTTCCAGTTGGCTGTGGGGACAGAAGTCATCTTGGATGTTCCTCTCCTCTCTTCCAGGAATGATGCGCCTCTCTCACCTGCCTCTCCTAACCCTCTAAATTCCCCACCAACAGATAAGAAGAGAAAAGAAAGAAAAAGGGAAGTAAGGCAGCACAGCAGGTACTGGGAAGGAGAGATCTGTCAGAAAAAGCTTTGGCTACACTGTTCAAACTGTTAGAAATGCTGTACCAGCTGAGTCAGGAGAGCTACCTCCAGGTGGAACAGCATCCCATTCCTCCTCTGTACGGCCACCTCTCGCTTTTGGTTTTGCTGAAGGAGAAGGGGACTGGGAGGCAAAGCACATTTTATAGGCTTGTGAGTTCCCAGCGTCATGAAGGGAGCGGAGCGATAAGCTCCGTCAGCGGGTAAGATAACACCTCTTTCTCTCTGTTCTCCCTCCTCCCCTTTTATTTCATTCATTACCAGCAGCAGGCACTTCCAGGAGCTGTGGAGAGAGCCATGGGGAAAATGATTTCTCGGCTTGTTTTTGTTCAGAGATTTGTTTTATATTGCCTTTCTTTACGTTTCATTATTGTGCTTCCTTTTTAAATAGTCTTTTTGCCCTGTCTTTGCAGGGCTAATTAGCTGGCTTAGTTGAACATCCCAGGACTGAGACTGCTTTTTATTAATGCTGTTTCCAGGTGAATTCATGAATTTATTCCAGACGAATTCAGATCTGCTTTTTTGCTGCCGTTTTTTTCATTTAGTACACACTTCACTTTTAACCATTCTGTTAACTACAGATTTGGAATAGTGACCTCTTTTAAATAAAGAAATACATCCTGCTGCTCTTTAATTTCACTTTTCAATCTGTAATATGTTACTGACATCAAGAAACATTTATAAAATTAAAATGTGACTATCTTTTTCTTACAGCATTAACTTTGTTGCCGATAAAGCCATTTGCATGTTCAGCAGACACTGATTTTTTTTTTGCGAACACCATGCAGCCCTAAACATAGGTGTCCTTAAATATGGGTAAAATAGTAGGGGTTTGTTTTATTTGTAGCTTTGAGAAAAATTTTTTTTAGTTCTTTTTGCTTATTTGCATTTATTCCACACTTAGTGCTATTATTATTTTGAGCAAACAATATTTTTATATGCAGTGATTTCTATACTGGTAGAAAAGGGTAAATGAGAAAATTTAACATACAAGAAATCAGGTTTTTTGTTAGTATGTTGTCCTGGTTTTGGCTGGGATAGAGTTAATTGTCTTTCTAGTAGCTGATATGGTGTTGTGTTTTGAATTTAGTATGAGAAGAATCTTGATAACACACTGATGTTTTCAGTTGTTGCCAAGTAGTGTTTAGACTAGGTCAAGGATTTTTCAGCTTCTCATGCCCAGCCTCTTCCAGCTGGCCTCTTCCATGCTGTCTCTTCCAGCAAGAAGGCTGGAGGGGCACAAGAAGTTGGGAGGGGACACAGCCAGGGCAGCTGACCCAAACTGGCCAAAGGGGTATTCCATACCACATAATGTCATGCCCAGTGTATAAGCTGCGGGGAGTTGGCCGGGAGGGTGGTGGATCCCTGCTCGGGAACTAACTGGGCATCTGTCGGTGAGTGGTGAGCAATTGCATTGTACATCATATGTATATTCCAATCCTTTCATTATTACTATTGTCATTTTATTATTGTTATAGATTATCATTATTAGTTTCTTCCTTTCTGTTCTATTAAACTGTTCTTATCTCAACCCAGGAGTTTTACTTCTTTTCCCAATTCTCTCCCCCTTCCCACTGGGTGGGGGGGAAGTGAGTGAGCAGCTGCGTGGTGCTTAGTTACCAGCTGGGGTTAAACCATGACATATGTCAACAACAGCTGGCATTGAGAATGCATGCTTTGTGCAAGGGTTGACTGCAAGGAAATTCAACTAACAAACCTTTGTTATTCAATAGGCTGCAGTCTTTAGGGAGAAAATGTGTTTTAGTGCTGATCTGCTCCATGCTTCAACAGTTTATAGCTACTACTTGTCATCAGCAGAGATTTCAACTGTATCAGAGCAGTGGGAGCATGTCTAGAACCTACTCATACACTGCAGGTCCGTGTCACAGCAAAACCACTGGAGTTAATCTCACAGTTCCTTTTTGAGTCCCACATCTTCCATCTGCGTTGTCTTTCATCCTCTCCCTGGAGGTGAGTCTGAAGAAGGGAATAGTGGTTCACACACCGTTTGCCCAATAGGCTTTGTGCCGTGTTCTCAAGAGATCCTATAGCAAGAAGCACAGAGTCAGCAGAGACTGTAATAGTGCTGAGTGGGTTAAGCACTCTTTAAGTTATCTTAAACTACAGCAAACTGTAGGATACATTTCTCTGCCTTTTGGGCATGTATAGAGGGGACTTTGGGAAGGCAGTGAAGAACAAGCAGTTGAGTAACTCAGGTGCACTCTCCTGGTAGAATCAGTGAGGTGCTGGACAGAGGGTTAGTAGGTAGGGCTCCTTGTTGTATCATATTGTCCAAAATAGGCCAGTGGAATAGACTGAGAGAATCCCATACCTGGGCAAAGAAATCCGACTTGTAATAAATGATCTAAGTCACAGGCAAAATCCAAGTAAGAAATTGAATTAATTGTGGTAAAGAAAATTTCTGTGAGTCTCAGTGTGGAAAGAATTCAAATAGTAGTTCCAATGAGTGAGCAATACTGGCCTGACTAGTTATAACAGAGACTTGGACACTCAACTGTTGACTCTAGAAGCTTCACTCAAGATTTTCATATAGCTATGAGCGAGAGAGCGCAAACGCAGCCCTGTGCCCTGTACCTTCCCACCTTTATGCCCAAACTAGGAATTGCAGACTTTTACTAAGCTGATGTGTTTTCCACATTCCCACACCAGCTGCCCCAGTCCCTCCCTGTGTCCCGTGTGCTTCTGTTGCTGCCACTCAGCTCTCGCAACCTCAGCTTATTACTCCTTTTCCTCACTTTCAGCAGAGACACAGGGACCTTACTTCTTGCACACAGTACCGCTAGAGATTCAGCAGAGTGCAAACCTATAAGAACAGCATACAGTATAGCACTTGCAGAAACTTCCCCTGTATGGAAACGTAAAGAATTTGCATTTGAACTATTTGTTCTGCTTAGTTCATGGAGTCGCATTCTGGTCTTGTGTGCAAATTCTGTCTCAGTGGTGAATTCCCCTAAAAAAAGTGCAATATGCAGTAGTTCTGCACCGATGCTGCAAACTAGGGGCTGTATTTTGACTTTGAGAGCAGGACTCTAATTTCTTGTTCCTCTTTTCTCACAGGAATGAAGCTTGTTCTAGCTCTCTGTCTTGGAAAATTGCTTGCCATTGCATACAGTGTGTTCTGGAGTGACCGTTCTCATATGTGTTTCACTAATCCTCTACAGTGCCCCCAGGGGAAATTGTTCTCTTCAATACATTCCTAGTCACAGTGTGAAAAGTTAGTACAAGTCAACACCTCATTATGCAAGCAAAGCTATCAGTACATTGAGTCCTTGAGACTTACTTTAAACAAAAATCAGGAAGCTTTTTGTATTCTGTGTTTGTGAAATGTCAGCCAGACCACCAACACAGTATGTGAACAAAAGTGTCAGCTTTGCAGTGCAGCAATGAAAGTATCATTGATTCCCGTCTTCCTTTTCAGGGGTACCCTGAGGAAACTGAGGAAATATTCCACTCCTGTAGGGACCTTCTTATATACTGTGTCCTTCCCCCTCCCCTCTCCTTGACGCATGAGGAGGAGAGAACCTGTGTGGTACCATTAACACAGTTCCATAATGGACAACCTAGATTTTTCATTAGTTGCTTGCTCAGTAAGCTGGATGTTACCTGTTGTGTTGCAGCAGGTATCGAAATCTGGCAGAAGAGGTGGCTGAGTACCTGGAGCTGTTTCGTTTTTGAGAAATTGAACACTGAACAGCACAGGGCAGATGTCGGGCAACTGGATCAGCCTCCTATGGGGAACATTTACGATTCCTTTTGGGGATGACTAAAAATTTGCCAGAATAAATTCATCTGTGCTCCAGCTTTTGTTCTTATTGAAACCCTACAGGAGTAAACTGGTACAATCCATTGAAGCAAAACCAGGTCCTCCGACATCCAAAAGACTACAGCAAAGAAATAGGTTGACCTGCCGTTTGGCACCTGTCTTGCTAGTGTGATCAGGAAAGTAGCTGTGATTGTTTATAGTTCTTCCTTTGTGTTATATATCTCAAAGCTATTTTTTCACAGTTCCAGCAAAACCTTTCCTACTGAGCCCAGAGTGGAAGATAAGATCTTGACTTAGCATCTCGACTACAAAGTAGATTTAGAAATTAGTCTATTCTTTGCTATTTATGACACCATGATTTATTCTTCTACAGGTCTTCTGGTGTACTTGAAGTTTTAATCTGAAGTCACTCTTCCACTAAATTCATCTGTGTGCTGTGGGAAAGAGAGCCAGACAATATCAGCAGTAGTGCACAAGTAGGGATTTGTAGCAGAACAGCAGCTGGCACAGCATATCTATTTAGCATGCGTGCTAACTGCATCATTGTTAATCACAGTAGCTCTTTTTCACAAGACCTGTCCTCTGTGGTTCCTTTCTCTTGTATATAGCACTAAGGGCATTGCTAAGTTTGCTTTTGTGTTTGGATTTGCTTTCTTCATTAGGCTTAGCCTAATGATCTTGTTCCCTGCCTCCTTCTTCCAGCCCCCAGCTGGAAGGGATGATCCTTCAGCAGCAGCTTTGGTGGTTCAAATTTTTTCTTCAGCTTTGATATGTCCTGTTCATCATGCAAAGCTTTAGCTATGGCAGGAGAATTTTTGCAACTTAAGGATGCTCAACACTGTCCTATTTATTATGGCTGCTTGTTAGCATTGTGCTGCTGTCATGACAATGTCAGCCTACCTGGCTTTTGAACAGTTTGCTTTTATTTGTGTAGCTTAAAACACAGCTGGAAAACTCAGTTTGAACTTGGTTTCTGATTATTGCTTATGAATGCAAAAGTCTTCTTCCTGGCACCGACTGAAAATGACTCGGTAGGACATCAGGC